AGGGATTGTGACTGCAGAGGCAAGGCTGGCCATTTTTTGATGGAGGAGGGGGATCGGGGTTGTTTCTCTTTTGATGGTGGGTGCAGAGATATATAGAAGAAGGGATAGAGGGTTTCTGTGGCCGGTGACTTTGTGTGGTAGAGAAGCAGGGGGGTATCCTGAGGATTGGGTTTTCATTGGTCAGTATGGATGATGATATTTGCTGAGTTGAGCCTGGAAAGGATGAGGAATGAGTGGCTGTCACAAAAACTAAGAACAGGGCTCGGTAAGTAAAGGAAGAAGAAAACAAACAGAAAGATAGGCACTTTAACCTCACATTCAGTAACAGTTATCGAGCCTGACATTCTGTATGCGGATATCAGCCTCTCAGGAATGAGATTGATGACAGCCCTGATCTTCACTAACGGCGTGTTTGGCAAACCATACAAAACTGATGAGTCGGGACTAGTCCAGAAGAAAACCGGTTTAGAGGCTATATTTTGGCCGATGAAAACAGGGCCGGATCTGGCCCTATTGTTTGCCAAACAGAAAACCTTTTGAAACGAGCCGGGTTGATTGCCAAATCACACCATGAGATTGGAGATTTAAAAAAAAAAAGAGGATGTTAATTTATGAAAGTAGTAGGAGCTGGGGGGAGCCTGAATAGAAGTGAAAATATAAAAAATAATTACTGAAAATCATAGCTACAACTACCTCAAGTTGGAGTAAGTGGCATATCAAAATTATAGTATACCTGTGCAATCCTTTCCTGTTTATCAAAAAAGAGCCACTGCCACCAGCAAACATATTTAAAGCATGTAGACAATCAATCTCCACAGATAGTTCAAGAAATATACACTGATTGGATACCTTGTTCAGGCAAATGTTACACAAGAGATGATGCGAGGACATCTAAATAAACTGCCCAGTAATGCCAAGGGGGGACCATGATGCCTAAAGATCCTGATAGTTTCTGAGGTAAAAGATCAAACATTAAGTCAACATGCTTCACCTAAGATCGAAAATGCCGATAATTTTTCTGGTAAGATTACTGCTTTAAAAGCCATAGATGGTATTCTGTAAGAGAATCTCAAAGTTTCCTACACATGATATCAGGCTCAAACAAGGTCCAAACAATGAAGTTACGGTGACCACTTCCACCTAAAAAAAAATGGGTGCCCCTCAACTCCCAAATGAAATTTATGAAATCGTAATTACCGTATTATCTTATAGTCTCTATCTAATAGGTCAATCAATATCCGATGTGAGACTAAATATTGGGGTATCACAGACAATATCCATGAGTTACTTGAAGGATTGGATATCCAATCCTTGGTCTAAGAGAAAAATAAGGAGTTACAGGTTTTGAATATTAATTTTTTATTGTCTCCTTATATGGGTAAATTTTTATCTCAAATATTATTTCTTTACTTACATGTAACATTTTTTAATATTTTTTTCTTTTTTTCCTTTTCCTTTTAGGGGCTGTTTGGTTCGTTTCCTTGATATAGAGAAATACAATTCCATGTAAAGAAACACAAGTTTTAAGTTTTTCAAACTTTTCCAAGAAATAGATTGTTTTGCTTTGGTTCGCACATAAAAAATGGTGGGAAACCCCAATGTATTTATTTTTCTTGTGTTTGGTTCGCATAGAAAAAAAGAAAACTTTTGTAAACAAAGCAGAGAAGGAAAAAAAATCTGACGTGGCAGAGTTTTCATCAATTAAACAAAGCAGAGAAGGAAAAAAAATCTGACGTGGCAGAGTTTTCATCAATTTCACTTGGTTGGGGAAGGAAATCGGAGAGGAAAAAAAATCTTAGTTGGCGGCGATTTCAGCAGAGTTTTCCCTCTTCCATTCGAGCGAACCAAAGCGGCACAAAGAAATGGACGGAAACAAAAAAGCTGACGTGGAGGGATAAAAATCTGGCGTGGAGAGGTTTTCTGAGTTTTCCACCCCTTATAATAGCGAACCAAACAGCCCCTTATCTTAAAAATGTTTTTTTCTTTTTTACTTTTTTCCCTCCTTTTACTTTTCTCTCTCAAATTCTTCATCTCCCCATTGATTTTTTTTGAGTTATTGATGAGATCTTTCAAGTTTCAAAATTTTATCATTATTGTTTTGTGATCTAATCTTGTTTGAATCATCAAAAAGGTAAAATTTCGAACCTTAATCTCTATTTTTAAATATTTTTCTAGTGTTTTGTGTGAGATTTATGGTTGATCTTATTGAATATCAGCAGTATGTGGTAAGAGCTGATATTTAGAGTTGAATTAATTGAGATTATTGCATGAATATTGCACAAATTTGGATTTGAAATCATGATTCTATTCATTAACCATCAATGGTCGATAAACACCATCGATGGTGCCTGCTAACCATAGATGGTGTGCAAGAATCTATCGATGGTCTGATAGCAGATTTTTTGCCTCTTGATCTCATATCATGATTTTTTCCCCCCAATTCTCTTTGATTCTGTCCCTTATATATTCTCTATACTAAATCAAGTTCGTTTGCTGTTATAGAAAATGCCAGGCATCAAATGTACCCGAGGTGATCAACTTTCTTGGAGAGCGTAGAAGAGAACTATGAGAAACTTCAGTATGTACAACAATGGGTGTAGTTTTCGTAAAGATCGCATACTGAGGCCAGTCATGAATCGTCGTAGTTATCATCACAGTCGACTCCATCTATGTCATCTTCATCGCCATCATAGGGAGCAATTACACAATAATCAAGTCGGTCAGGCATCCGAAACTGTTTATCATTAAGAGCAGAGCAGAGAATTAGAACTTACACAACAGTATAAGTCTGCGAAGTTATTTACATTCTAAGTAAAATGAGTATAAAGCAAAAAAAAAAAAAAAACCCCATTAAATTACGGTAAATTACTAATAAGCGATAACCCCCTCATGGCCTTATCTGTACCTTCCGTATCGCTTGACATCCCTCAACAAATTTATTAGCACCAAGCTCTCCCCAGCCAACGAGGAAGAGGGTGTTACCTGCAATTTATCCTTCTAACACGATAATTTCACAATTTGTAAGTGCTAACAAATGAGTTGAACGGCTGCTAGGTGCTGCAGAAGGCATAGATGGTGGGGGTTATCTACAAATCGCCCTCAAAAATCAACAGACATTGTTTAGCGACACAACCTCACGAGGATTGAACACTATGTGTGGTTGATACATAAGAAATCTAAATCCACAAAATTTTTGCAAAACGTAAACAATACCACCAGAGAACATTACCTCACCCACGTTTACTGGTGACGGCGGTTCGAAAGCAGTTGGAGTCCAAATCTTAACATCGTTCTCGACGCCGCTGCTGGCTAGCACGGTCTCATGAGGATGAGGCTCGACGCAATTTACTACGCATTTACCTCCTTCTATAACCCTCAACAATCTTCCATCTCTCTTTCTCCATATAAAGATGCTACCACAATCCGACCCGCTTGCCACATATTCGCATTTGGGACCGAAGAACCTGACACCCTTCAATGTATCACGGTTCTGATGACCTCGGTATACCTGAGGTTCATGCTTAGCGTTTGAATCCTCAACATTACCCTCCACAGTGCAATTCAAATATTTATCAACCGGTTTCGGACCCAGCCCTTGATCTTTCGAGAAAAGATATATCAACTCATCGTTGTAAGATACGAGAAGCTCACTTATGTCTGAAAAAGCCAAGCCCGATATGCCAACTTGTCTATCACCGATAAGATGAACAGGGCAGAAGCAATCGGTAGGATGACCAGAATTGGTCGATCCATCCAGTCCATACTTGCGAATGTCGTAAACTCGAGCGTACTCATCAGACCCACCTATCGCAAAGAGATTTGGGTTCCTTGGATCTATTGCAATTGTGTATAGGCTAATGACGGGCATGTAGTCTGATCTATCTCTGAAAGAGTTGCATATGAAGAGCTTTGCTGCAGATTTCGTTCTCAAATCGAACTGTTGACGGAAAAGCTTGAGTTAGGATCACGAGGTAGAAAAACTGGGACGTTGAAGAATATGCAATTGATAACTCTTAACATGAGCTATTTTCGTAGTGATATATTTTCCTGTTTTAATTAAGTGTCCGTGTCGGGTGGGATTTGAACCTAGGCTGTCCATCAAACCAACCGGATACAAATCTCATTGATCAAATATTTGTAACTGATTTAAAAGAAGATATTGTTGCGTGGGTGCAAGTTTTTTGACCAATGAGAAGGACATTAAACTTTTGGGGGACAATGTAGAGTCTAAATTATAACCGACTAACTTTGCAGTTTTGATACATTGAAATAGAATTTAAAACTCACATGTTGAAGCAAACCATCCTCGCCGCAGGTGTAGAATGTGTGAGGGCTCCCTGGTTCAACTGCGATTTTATGCGCTCGACCTTCATGTTGACTGAGGACTTGGGTATTCACTTGCCCACCTTCTAGTACTTGGGCATGCCGCACCTAACCAAAACAAAAATGAACATATATGAGGGAATTTGTAGGCATTTATTTAAACTATACTAAATTCATTAGAGAGATAAAATAACAGATGACCTCTCCATCAGCACCGCAGGTGACAAGTGCTCTATCATTAGTACAAGGCATCATTTGTGCCTGGAGAACATTTCTGGAGTGGCCCGATTCAAACTCTAACTTGATGAGTCCAGCATCCCAATCCCAGAGTATAACCGTTCTGTCATCGGAGCCTGTCACAATAATGCTGCCGTCTGCATTGAAGCTTAGCGTGTTTACGCAGCCTCCATGCTTCTCCAGCTTTCGATGGATTCCGAGCTTCAGAACAAGATCCTGTCCATCAAACAATGAGGATTTACTGTGATGCACGTTGCCAGCTCGTCGCAAACCACACGATGGAAATTGAATAACGTGCCGAAAGAACTCTAAGCAGAATGCGAAACTAGAGCACGTACCCGTGCTGCGTACTCAACTGTTATGCTCGTCAGATCTATCATCATAAGTACAAGGATCGGAATTTTATTTAGAAAGTAAAATTTTAATCTCAGACCCCGTCTTATGTTGTGCAATTAGATTATATATACACATAGATTACCTCCCCTAGCTAGATGCATCATTTCAGAAATATGTGTGCTACGGGCATCTAATGATTTCGAGATTCTGCTATGCCTTCGAATCATATTGAATTGCAATTAATAGTACCCTTTTTTTTTTGGGTGAGGAACGTAATCAAATGTATACCTCGGACGCAGCAACGAGGTGCTCGAAGTTCCTCGGCGCGATATCTCCGACCTCTCTCTGACGGAGCCCATCGAGCCCGCGCCCGGGGACCCTCTTCCTCTTGAGAGATCTCATCTTCGTCTGAGCAGCACCGTGTGCTCGATGAAGTTAGACTATAACTACATAAAGAGCTTGTGGATGTTGATATCGTCGAAGAAAACAAGCATAAATTCTCAAATATCTCGCTGTTGTTTTTCTTGCTTGTGTCGGTCCGTTGCGGTTCTTTGGTGAACGACATATGTCGCCAGGGAAACGATATTAATTTGTAGGCCGCGCTCTATATTTGAGATGTATAGTTGGATTTTCTTGGGCTTTTTTTTGATGAAATCATTCTTAAACCCAGAATTTGCGTATTGAATTATTCTGATCATTCTTAAGCCTAGAGTTTACCATGATCTATTTTACACCCAACTTGGGCTCGAATATGTTAGAATCGTTATAAAATTATAATCCTCGATTCTCACTATAACTTCGGGGTTTTGGAGTAATGGTTCAAGGGACTAAATTTAAGATGGTGTCAGAGCAATCTATGTTGGAATCCTATCCGCCACGAATTGAGAGCAGATTTTCTAAGAATTGACGCAGCTAGCTGGGTCCGGGTTTCGACCCATAAAAGGGCGCTCAACCTGCGTGGGCGTGTTAGAAGTAATGTAAAACTATAATACGAAGAAGGTTCCTGTCCTCACTTGCTCCATGTACTCTTTACTTTGTCCCTTCATACCCCCTTAACTTTTTTTTAGTCTCATCTTACCCTCTAAAGTATTAATATGTCCCTTGTTACCCCCAGAACTATTTTTTAGTTATATTTCAACCCCAGAGCTACTGAATTCTTCCCTTGTTACCCCTTGAGCTACCACACTTGGCACCAAGTTACCACGTCCCTTATATTAATTTTCGGTTATTTGAAATAGATAAAAGAGGATAATACAAGGGGCATAGACGGGAGTGTAGTGATAGTACATGGGGTAACAAAGAACTACTTAAATATTTCAGGGGGGAGATGAGACTTAAAATAATGGGTGTTGCTACATGAACAGTGCATCAAGCCCTCAGGGACTGACACCTCACCTGTCCCCTCAGGGGTCTCCTATTTTGGGGTCCCAGGGGAGTTTTCCTAAAATAATTTGGAGGGTGAATGGATAGTTCCGGGGGGCAGGCAGGGGCTAAAGCCCCGAAAGGATCATCACCTTTAATTTGATGATGGGCCTGGTTTTCGGCCCAATTTGCTCATCGCACCAAGCCCAATTGGGTCTGTATCAAATCCAATTCTCCAAACGAAGCCCAATTTGCTTTATCAACTCCCAAACTAGACCTCCACCTCCATAATCCAAAATTCAGAATGCGCCATTATCTTCTCCCCTCCAATCCTTCATCTCTTCCTCCTTGGCTCTCTCTCCTAGTCTTCTCCAAACCCTCGTTTCATCCTCCGTCGATCCCTCCTCTTCTTCTCCTATCAAAAACCTTAGTAATCTTCCGCCGCCGCCGCCGCCGCCGCCGATGACGACGACCACGTCATCGGCGACTGCCTCGTCTTCGAGGAACGGCGCCTTCGAGGACCCGCCCCTCCCGGTCCGGCCCCCGCCCGCCGGCGGCACGTCATGCGCGTCCGGCGGAAACCCTAATCCCCGACACGGTGGAAGGAAGCGGTGGAGGAGATGAAGCTGACGAAGAAGGAGAAGAGGAAGATGATCCACGGCTGCGGTTCGCACAGCAAGCTGAATCGCGGAGGAAGTCGCCGGCGCGCGGCGGCGGAAGAAGTAGCGAGGCGTTTCGGGAGCTGAAGCTGTCGCAGCTGAAGCCCGTGGTTCTCGATGATCCGAAGGAGTTTCGGGGCCGCCGGCGGAGGAGGACGTTGCGAGGAAGAGGAGGGTTGCGGCGGTGAACCCTAGGCTGGGGAATGAGGGAGGGGGGTTTGGAGGACATTAGGGAGTTCTTTAGTAGTGGAGAGTATGTCCCTGGGAAGATTCTCGACGATAAGAAGCCCAAAGGTGAGTTCTTTTGTTTATGAAACTGGGGGAATGGACTTTCAAATTCCTATATATTTGCTTGGCTTAGGAATTGGATAATTAGGATCCTGCGAAGTTATTTAAAAATAATAATAATAAACTGCACCACTGAACTCAGATGTATATCACAATCCTCAACAGGAATTACCGCGGCAAATGTTTAGTTTGTGGGACCTTGTGCCTGCGGAATTTTAAGGGCAGAAATGCATATCTAAGAAGACCTGTTCAACAATTTTTTCGGAAGTCGAGATAGAAAAATTGGTGTTTAGAGGATGCCAGAACGGTCAAGTTGAGATATGCGATTTTGTTTGTTAGATGACTGCAATTTGGTCCCTTAATGTAGTCTTGTCTTGTTACTTATGGGAGGATCTTAAAGAAGGATTGGGCATCAGTAAACACCTTTTGTCATTTGGTTTTTGAGGAAAGACATTCTTACAAGCTGTTTATGTTTTTATTCACATGGTAGGTACCCGGAAGCTATTCACGCAGGAAGAAAAAACTCTCCTGAATAAACGAATACCCAATTTGGGAGAAGCAACTTCTGTAAGTTTCCTGTGTGCTCTGATTATGATGAAATTATTTGCTTTGCAGCTGTTTCAAGTTGGTTAATCTAGTCTGATGGTAATCTTTCAAACCTGCAATCAAGGCTTTATAACTTCGTATTATTATTGACTAAAAATACGACGTGCATGGCACTCTTTTTGGTAGTGAATTGACTATTAGTTCAGTTAAGCCGTATACTGTTGACATGACGTCCATATTATTCACTTTTTTTCCTTCTTCAGTTTTCATGCTATCATGCACAAGTGACCATATATCATGGAATGCATTTTTATTGATGCAACTTTATCTTTCTGATGTAGGATTCGTTGGCCTTAGCCCTAGAATTAGCTTCATGATGTTTATTCTCATGTTGGACATGATAATCTTCATGTTTCCTGGTTGTTTGCATGATCGTTGTCATGGACTGTATGTTTTACACACTCGTGTCAGGAAAAGGAGATCGAGTCCTTTCACAGCAGAAATGAGTTTTTTGTTCCCTCAATGTCGAAGGACGTCCCGTGACCCATGTATACCAAGTTTGATTCCAATCTTAAATATTTGTTATTGCATCTAAATGAGCTTACACAGACATCTAATATTCAGTGCTTTGGTAAACTTCATAAACTATCTTTGCATGTTGCCACCAGTAGTTATTACTGATGCAAGGTCCACGGTCCATCCATATTACAGTCTATGAAACCGTTTCAGACCCACCATCAGTTTATCAAATCAAATTATTGTGACCTTATTAAGCAGGTGGATGGCCTCTGTCCTTAGGTTGCACAGGAGGGGTGTGTGAATCTAAGTGTGTGAATGCTAATGTGTTGTTGGCTTTGTGGCATGACCAGTTATAACGTTTCCAGATGAAAACAGCAGTTCCCAGATGTAAGTACATAATAACATAGCCAATGGTTTGCCCGTACCTCTCCGTGGTTAGTCTAACGAATTTAGGGAAACCAATTCTTCTTGCTAAGAATTTCTTACATGGACCAGGTTCCAGACTCATAGTTGCAGGATTATTCTCTCTTGCCTTAACAAATTCTCCCTTCTCTTTTCAAGATTGAAAATTGGCAAAACCATATTTTAGCCAGTTATTTCTCCAATGCTACCATTGAACAACTTCAAAACTAGACCTTGTTGTCAAAGCAGTTCCTTTTTTTTGGATATTCTTTCAGTTAATCAAGATTGAACCCTAGTCCTTGGACGATAATCCAATGAACAATACAATTTCATTCGACATATGTATGGTTCGGGGATGCACTGTCCAACTATACCATTTAGTTCAATGGTCTCACATTCTGGTTTCTGATTATCCAAATTCATTTTTGGTAGTATGCCAAGTTTGGTTAAAAATGAAGCAAAAATTGGAAAAATTTGCTCGAAACGGTTGTTGTTTTATTATTATATTTGCAATATTTTGCATATCTGAATGTGTCAAAATAGCAATTAAAATAATTATTGGAAGAGAAGATATTGTTTAGCACAAATGAGTGAACTAAACCACATATATTAGTATCAGAATACCTCCAATAATTTGTTTTGGGTCCTTAAGAATCCATGTTTAGATCCAACAAGGAAACAAAACTACTAGGATTCACAACCTATCCAATTATATGATTAATTTGGTTGGAGGATGGTAACCGGAAAGTCTGTCTGTTGGATCAAATAGCAGGTTTTGGGGGAATTGCATATATCATTGTCTAAAATTGGCCAAATAATAAAAATTCCAACTAATTATGACAATGAGGATCCCAAACTCAGTGGATACTTAACATCAATTAATATCAGACAAATAAAATGCAATCCTTCAGTTTGAGGAATTCATGAAATTTTGTTTGGTGAAAAATTTGTAGTAAAAAGAATGAAAGAAAATTAACTTGTATTCTCTCGATCTTAATTACAATTTGGATTCCCGATTACAAAAGAGAGGAGAATTGATCTGAATTATCCTCTTTGTTTAGTTCTGGATTCTTCACGGTGACGATGGAGTGCATCTCTCGAGTACTCGCGTCGAGTTTGCTCTCCGTTGACGATCCGAACGTCTTGATTCACTGGAACGATATCTTCTCTTCACGATTTGACGATGTGGAGAACTTATGTGGTAAGTTTGTAACTTTGAACGAGTCGATAACTCAGAGTGAGTTTAAACTCTTGAAAAAGAGTTGATTTGAACCGAAAATCGGTTAATAGCCAAGTGAATTTGTTGTTGCTCCAGGATGCCTCAAGATCTCCTTGTTGCCAAGTATTTCTCTCCAGCCGATCTCCTCAAAAGCCAGCCTTTGATCTCTTCTTTGCTGCTAAAAAGAGGATCGATCCGAGAGCCAAAAAAAACCGAGCCCAAACTCAGTTGAGTTTTCTCCTATTTATAGGAGATTAAGGGGTGTAACCAACCCCTAAATCCGCTCCAACGTGGGCGAGAATCCCTCAAAACGTGGGGAAAACGGTTCTGAAACCGTTCGACTCATGTTTGAATGAGTCAAACGTCCAAGTTAGAGTTCAGGATCCTAACTCTGCGTTTTAGACTGAGACGCGGAGTTGGGCACCCGCTGGATGTTGAAAAACGCGAGGGCCGCCCGTGTTTTGTTTGCTGAGGGTTGGAAACGCGGGGGTCGTCTGCGTTTCAAGAACTGAAACGCGAGGGTGAATTCTGCGTTTTAGAAGGAGCTAATGACTTATAGCTTCTTCTGTAGAGCGTTGTAAAGACCATTGTTCAGTAATCTTCGTCTTGGCTCCTTAAAAATATGAGAGTCGTCAGATTGTAACTCCCGATGTTGATTGTGAAGGCTGTTGATTAAAGCTTTCATCAGTTGTTGCGAAGGTCATCAGATTGTAACCTTCATCGATCTACGTAAAAGTCTTCAAATTGTAACATCCTGGAAGTCGTCAGATTGTAACTTCCATCATCGGTATTTGATGGGGATTGACTATCTGTTGTGATTTTTAGACAGCCTACAAATTTTAATTGCAATTTGGTCATTTATATAAGACAGTGACTCGTCTTTGTAGCCAGGAATTCATCTGTTTATTTTCTCAATTGTGGTTTACTCATTTCCTTGTTTCATGTAGGCTCATGCATGTCTACATTTGTGTTTCAGAGCAAATGGCTTCCTCTGCACACTCTCGCTGCATCAGGGGAATTTTATCTTTTGGATGCTTTACTGAAACATAATGTTGATATCAATGCTGTTGATAAGGTATATTCTTATTGGTATCTTTAAGCCAGTTTCTTTTCTGTTAAATAACATCATCTATAATTGGAAATCCTAGTTATTGTTTTGATGCATTAATTATTTAAGACAAGTTTTGTCCCATGAATCAAACGACATTTGCTTTTTACATTTATTGTTTTTCCCTAAATCTTTTTTCAGTATCTTATACCATTAATGCTAGCTGTCTTCAGGATGGTCTATCTGCGATGCACAAAGCAATATTTTGCAAGAAACAGGCCATTATCAACTACCTTTTAAGAAATTCAGCAAATCCTCATATCCGTGACAAAGTAAGAGTATTCTTGTCTCTTTTTTTTAACTATGATTTTGCATGTATATATTTGAGTTTGTTTTCTGTATAAGCTAAGATTTGTAGCTGTTTTCGTGCTTGTGTTTACTGCTTAGTAAATACTAATTTCTCTTTCCTGCTGTATTTGCATCATGTATGTATACCACTATGCAACTATCTTGACATTAGTGTTCATAGAGTATCTTGCTTAACATGGGGGAAAAAAAGTAAAAAACAAAACACCAGAGCTTCTTAAAGAAGGTGGTAACTAGTGAAGCATCTTAGAATCCTGTGTTGTCTGCTCTAGATCTGAAAATGTCAATGGTTTGTGGGAGTGAAGTTGGATGTCCGGGAAGGACCAATAGTGGCGGATCCCCAGATTATGTGTTTGTACCTTCAGTTGATATCTACGTTTATTGTGCTTGAAATTAAATGAATTATAGCTAGAAAAATGGCCAAAATATCACAATGAAGGGAACAAACAGCTACTGGTTCATTCTTGAGATTCATTATTGGAAGCTATTTACTTAGAAAAGAAGATTGATAAATTGAGATAATGTGATATTTGCCTATTTGTTTATTTGGCTCCGCTAAGTATGATGTCTTGAAGTGAGGAAGTTAATATCAATTTCTCTTCTTCTACCTGCAATTTGAGTTTAGCGTGATACCTTGACTTTACATTTTCTTGCTGTAAGCTAACATATTGTCTATTATAACAGGATGGGGCTACCCTTATCCATTATGCTGTTCAAACTGCATCAAGCCAGACTATAAAGATTCTTTTGTTGTATGATGTTGACATTAACCTAGCAGACAATGTATGATTCCATTTTCATGCATAGTTGTATCCTCCTCTCCCTCTCTTTTTTCGCGTTGATTAATATTCATGTGGAAAACATCTTTTTTCAGGATGGATGGACTCCATTGCATCTTGCAGTGCAAGCAAAAAGAACAGATATTGTGAGACTTCTGTTAATAAAAGGAGCTGACAGGACTCTGAAAAATGGAGTAATTTTACCAACTTCATAATTATGCTCTCGTAAAAGAGATATAGGCTGGTTATGATATCACAATGGAATCTTTTTTAAGGAACATAGTGCAGATTGTTCCTCTTCTTTAAGTGAATTTTGTAACTTTTGTATTTTAGTGGGGTTCTTTTTAAGCAAAAGGAGTATTCAATTGAATACAACAAAAATAAGAAATGGACTGCACTTTTAGCAAATCTAGTTTGGTTATTGGGATTTTAATATGACTACTCCCAAATAATCTTAGAAATTGAAAACTACCCACGATGTTGTCTGACTTTTTCAATGTATTTTGGTTGGAGGAGGGGAAAAAAGAGGGAGTAATAGGTATTTCGCCTTTACAACTATTAGAAATCTAAAACAACTAATTTAAGAGGCAGACTAATGGATCCGCACATGATTTATGAGCTAAACTGGCAAATGGAAGATTCGGGAACTGGAGCTTTTTCAGCATTTTTGCTCATATTATACTTAGTTTGTTTGATGTTTATACAATCTTATTGTGTTTCTATAAACAACCTATTGGAATCTAATGCTCATTACCAACTTTCTTGTCTCAGGGTGGACTCACACCTCTTGATCTTTGTCTTTATTCTGGTCATGATGTACGTACTTTTGAACTTATAAAGTTACTGAAGGGGCTTTCAATGTCAAAGTCAGCTCCTTGAGGATAAGCGAGAAATGTGCAAAGTTACACTTGCTTCCATTGCCATTTGCTTCATTCTGCAGGAAGGTAAAATATATATTTTCTTCTCGTTTTGGCTCTATTTTCCCTTCTGTTCTAGTTGCATTTCTTGCGTTGAAGCTCATACTTCTTTCTAAACTCCAGGTAGTTGAATCGGATGCCAGATCCTGAGTGAGATCTTTGACGCAGGTAAAATGTTTTAGGATTGTAGCAAGAATTTTAACCATGAGCGCGATCTAGGAGAAAATTTTCAACCATTTTCCCTCAATTCCAACCGAGCAAGTTCACATGTTTCTTCTGATTGCAACTTCCCAAGTTCACATGTTTCTTCTGACTGCTACTTGTGGTACCGTTGAAACATTTATATTTACATCAGAGATGATCAAACCTTGGAGATACTGTGGACCTATTATCGATACCCACAGATATTTAGTAGAAAGTAGGTAATTTGGCTTGTCGTTGTGGAGATATTGAATTTTGGCCCAAAAAGTAAGCAGGAAATTAGGTCAAAGTAAATTTAGGGTTCTCTTACAATCTTAAAAGTGTGTACAAGTTGTTTGCAAGATGTTGATATAACTCAGTTATGGGAGCAGGGAGTTATGTATGTGTATATAATTGTGTTTATGGTACAGAGCTGGAGAAGGATGAAGGATTCCTTACATTATACGTGATTGTAGGATTTGCTTCTTGGTGAATATTATTTACTAATTGTGTGAAGACCCCTGTATTATAGACCAATTGCGGATAGACCCCTGCACTTCTATTGGTGCATGAGCAAACTTTTTTTTTATAACTCTTTTAGGAATGAGATCTTTTTCCACTCAGGGGTCAGGGGGTTTATCAGCACTTGGACAATAGTATGACCGTGTATTCGCATCAATAGAACTACATGGAGCCTATTTGCAAATAAGCGATACTATCATGTCTATCTACAATTAACTCAATTTTTGAAGCTATATTGATGGTGTATAATAGAACTATTCTTTCGCCTTTCACTAGAAAATAGTGACCGTTGTACAAGTTGACTTTATTTGGAAGGAAGAAACTAAATTTGATTTTCTATATCACAAACTATTAATCTACTCCTCTATATTTGAAGGAAGATCCAAAAAATTACTATTTATGATATAGTAAATACTACAGTATATTACTATAACATGAATAATAAATCTTTGAATCTTTCATTAAGCGTAAACGAGTGAATTTAGTGTTCATGCTATTATATAGAGTTGTAGGTATGATTTCTAATTTTAAGTATATAATAATTAAATTAAATGTATTAAATCTTAGAGGGAGATAAGTTCAAAATACAATGTTTAAAAAAATTGAGGGTTGTGTTTTGCATGGGGTACACACTAGTTCTTTATATTCAAATATCCACGTCTCAAGTCATAATGCATGCATTTTGGTCGCGATTGGAAGTGTTCTTTTGAAACAGTTCATTTGATCATTAAATTGGATAAAAAAAATTATAGTACCCCACTTTTTATAATAAAGATTTAAATCAACACACAGAGAAAGACTTACACCAGCGCACATGCAAAGTATCCAGTGAAGAAAATCTATGTTACTTAATGTATACCAAATAGATGTCAATGGATGGATACATACATGATTCCTGATATCTAATAAACTAATGATATACATCTATGTGATGCACATTTAATATTATACGTTCCAGACTATTTGATACTTTCTCCTGTACACATCATGAAATTATCATCTAATCTTCACGAGAACCAAACATTGGGCCCCGCACGTAATAAAGCGCCATACATGTGCATTGTTGAGTGCGACTTTCCTCGTGTCCACTGTTATGATCCCAATCTTTTTCGCTTTTTCCTATTTTAAGTATATAAAAAAGGGTAAATATTAGATATTCACACTGGTCGTCTCTGGGTCCCACAATCAGGGTCGAGTCGCTACGTGGGTGCTTCAGCATGCATAATCAACATTAATCTCGACTTTAAGCTCGTAATGCTCCATTAAATTACAGATTCCCGTGCCATCACCGCGCCTAGGACACCGCCTAAGCTGCCCTCCACTCGTCGCCTCTCCCTAAATTTGCGGCTTAAAAAAGGAATTAAGTTGGTAATAATTGATTATGTCTTTAATCCAACGTGGCGAAACCAGTAATTAATTCGAAAGAGAGTCCTCTTTTTAAAAGCAAAACGGCTTTAACTGTCCCCTGCTACCATAACCATTAAAGACTTACCTGACAAATTTAAAAAGTTAACAAACGGTTGATTTTAAAAATTTGTCCTTTAAAAAAAAAGGGAAAAAAAAAGGAACATAAAATAGTTCCGTACGTGTTCCTCGTTTCGTGGATTTTCTATCTTTAGGGTTTGTAATTTTTTAATCGGCATTGTTTGAAAATGTAGAAATCTTCATGGATTCTTTACGAAAATCCTTCAAATCTCAAGGCTCGTATAAATACTCCTCCTCCTCCTCGGATCTCGAGGAGCGACCGATCCTCCGACGATCACCGTGAAGCCGCCGTCAAGATCGACGGAGACAGCCAGAGCCCGTCGACCCGATCAATGCTAACAACAGCAACAACATCTGGAGAGGATAAGCTACGATTTTTGTGAGAGAGGCGCGGGTTCAGCTCCCGAAACAAGCCCTAACCCGCAGCCGATGGCGGAGATCAGCGAGCCGCCGTCGAGGTTGATCAGCAGTTTCATCGACAAGCAGCGAGCTTCCGGCGCCGAGATGGCCCTCGACGTCGATCTCGAGATGCACGAGCTCAAGAAATCGTCCAACGCTGAGTCGCGAGAGGTTCGCGTTTCGTTCGTTCCCGAGTTCCGTTCGAACTCGTCGGATGTGTCGGAGGAGGTAAGCTCGGTGCATCAGAGAGACAGGAGCTCCGGCGAGGTCCTCCGGTGCACGTCGAACTCCTCGTTTCAGAGAGGCT